GCGAAGGGTGCAACCTTACAACCTGTAGCCTCTACAACGCCGTGAGAACTCGTCCGCCTCGGCTAAGCCGGTTTGGACTTATTACGCCCCATGTGAGCCGCTTTTCGACCCAACAGCGTCCCTTGTGCTACTCTTGGGGGCTACATCTCCATGCTAAGGAGGAATCTCAGACAGCATTATACGCGAACTGTGCCATTAATATGCATTATACCATTGAAACTGAAGTTAGAATTTAGAGTGCACTACGTACCCGGGTCCTTATCTCAGATCATCAAGTATCAAAGGAATTAAAGAAAACTGTAAAATGGCACAATTTCCGCTTTAAGGATAAAAACTTCTGGGGCGTTAGTCAATATCCGTCGGAGGGTCGGAGGGACACCCACGCATTCGACTTCCATTCAGAATCGTAGTGGCGTATTGAATGCGTGCGTGGCCTATACAACGACTTGCGGTGGCCAGCCGATGTACAACTCAGCGTTTTTATCCTCCCAGACGAGTTGGCACCAACTCACGACCACCCCGGAGGGATGGAAGGCTTGGTTGGCCTAGGCGGATTTCTGGGATTCGAACCCGTGACCATGAGTATGTGAAGGGCGTCTGTCCCCACTACACCACTTCCAACCTCTCTCCGTTTTCGTTTAAAGAAAAATCAATATTACAGGGTCCTCTTGAATTCTATCTAACAATTTATCTTACTATCCCACATGCATGTTATTGAATGCTCCCTCGGACAAAATACACGCAGCTGACCCTTCTAAGTCGAAATAGCACGAAGACTACGAGCAGCTGAAGAACCTCTACACTTGATGGAAGAAATCGCTGATGGAAACAGTTAGCCTTTAAGGCCAATTTTCTGTCATCATATTTTCTCGAAATCAAAATCCACGGCCACAAAGTGGATTCGATTGTTCTTGCTTATTGCGATTTCTGAACGTGCTGCTAGCAAGTTTCTGGTGATTTATAGATAACCAGTTGGGCTACGCACGCTAATGCGAGCACCACATGCCCACTATCGCTTAGCTACGACTTGTTAGAGGACCAATATGAACAGTATCGATTCACTTCCCATTTGATAACTGTTTCCCCACCAAGCTCACTTGACATTCGCACTCTTCTTTGTGCCTACGTGAGGAAGAACGCACAAACGGGCATACAAACAGGCACACAAAATTACCGGTTCATATATAGAGACAGTCGGACGCCCGGCCTATGCCTGGCCCCCCTCCTTTTTGTGATCGAGTTGTGATGAAAGGCAAACAGCACACTCCTTTGCTGAAAACACCGAATGATGCTTTCCGGAATATGAAGCTCGATAGAGGAACAATAGGGCATGCAAACGATATTCAAAATGTGCCGATGCCTATTCCTTTGATTGGAATCTGTCTGTCTTGATCTGTCGCTGTTGATGTTAAAAATAATGGCCCATTGAAGAGTTAAGTGGTAGGCCCTCAATGCCTTGAATGGTCTCACAAATGTTGTCGAGTCATAATAATACCATTATCAAATGTCTTTATGAATGCAGCTCCTTTCCTCTATATATCATTAAATGAGAATCCGAGATTGCTAGCGGTCGGATAAGTTTTGGCATGAATGATATCAAAGCAGAAAGAAGCCGTGATCCTTCACTGAATCGCAAACTTCGCTGGGTAGCGGTCGTAAGCAAGAAAAGAACCAAATTCCATAATCGGTTCCTATCATTACTTTTACCCGTCTTGTCAAATGAAACATATCGAAGAATCAAAGCTAAATTGTAAACAACAAAGGCGCTGGGATTCAACTGGTGATTGGATCTTGTGCTCTATAGCCTCCTCTATCGTCAGTGTTCCCATTGCCCCCTCTACTCCTGTTGATTTTGCTCTCCAAGTCTACGGGATAGGGAGTTTTGGATTTTCGCTCAGACATTTCGCACAAACCCCGCCCTCCAAAGGGCGGAGTCCGGTCCTCCTACCCACCATAATTGTTCCCATCCTGCCGCCTCCTACCCACCATAATTGTTCCCGACCCTGCCACCCACCACTAATGTTCCAACCCTGCCTCGGGTACTCTTACCGAATTCGGATTTTCTTGGTCCACTGAGACAGGATTCATTATTTTCCACTGAAACATTTCGTTCGCAGAACTCCCGCCCCTTATGGGCGGAGTCCGGTCCTGTCACCCACGATATGTGTTCCCATCCTGCCGCCTGTGCTCCTACCAAATTTGAACGTCCTAGGTCCACGGAGACAGAAGTTATGAATTTCCGTACAAACAGACAGACAGACGGACAGACGGACGGACAGACAGACGCGAGCGCTTTATATAAAGTAAGGATGATATAAGAACTCACGAATGTTTTCTTTTTCTCAGCCAGATGTTGGTCGCGGAAGTGGGAAGCAAACTTGGAATGGCGTAAGCAAAGATTTGCGGCTCGATGCCAATTTTGAATACCTGGAAAACATACTCAGACTTACAATTGACACCAGCGTTAACAAATTGACAATTGCCGCACAGCGCATAAAGAATCGTGTAATTCATTATCGAATTCTAATGAATTAGTTATCTAAAAGCACGATTCATGACGATTTTTGGATATTTAGTCTCAGACGAGTAGTGGAAGTCGTGGCCCAGAGTAGGGCAAAAGGGGGAAGAAAACGCGAAAATCGGCGTATTTAGAAAAATATTAGTCTCAAAAAAGTAACAGAATCACGGGTTGGACAAGAGTTGACGACAAAAGTTGTATAGAATGGGGTGTCGGGCGAGCTGTCTAAGTGTGTGCCACTGCGTACAGTAAGCTGCTGCGTGCAACGTGGGGGCCTCGGTGCATCTGGCACAACCTCAACAGCCTCTACAACACGGTGAGAACTTGTCCGCCTTGTATGTGTGCGTCGGCTAAGCCGGAACTGGCCCCTTGTTACATCCTATCTAGGCAGTTTTTTGACCCGACAGCATTTTTCGGGGGTCACACGTTCATCCCAAAGAAAATTCTTAGGAACGAATTTCATCGCTGACTGTGCCTTTGACAGAGTTATTATTAAACTCATAACTGTAGTAAAGAAAATTTATATTGAGTCTGAATACATTTGCTAAAGTCAACACCTTCCTGTTCGGCATTCTGTTTACATTCTAGATTCTAACTTGGAACAAAAGCTTCATTGTTTTGTCGTCCAAGTACGTTTCACGGAGCCGATTTCGTTTTCTTACGCAGCCGCTCTCTTCCACTCACTATGCTATTGAAAAAACGTCAAAATAAATGCGAGCGTATACTCTTGCCAACGGATTCACGCAACTCACACTATTTTTTTATATCCTTTCTATAATTTGACCGGATTGGTGCTGAGGGCAGTGTCTCACATAAGTGTCGACTGGCTGACTTCTTCAAATTTCTCAGCACCTGGGCAAAACAAATCCAAAAGCTACACAAACTCCGTAGAGTTAAGAAACAGGAAAGGATTTTTCCGAAATGGAATTCAGAACCATTCGAGCACATCAGAAAAAAAATCAAGAGGAAAGAAAATGCGATCTCTTCCTTGAACTCGGTTACTGTTATTGTCGATTCTGCGTCTGCACCTGTCTACCTTCCTAAATCGGGTGGCTGTCAGAGAATCCCTGCTTGAGAATATATTTACTACCTCTTGAAGTATTAAAAACTGGAGATTCCAACTCGGAAGATCAAACCCCTTTGATTATGTACAACAAAAGATTACGACAAAAGTATCATGGAGGGCGTATTTGGACGAGCTGTCAAAATGTGTGCCCTCACGTACAGCTGACTGCAGTAAACTCCACAACACCTGAGGACTCGTCAGCCTTTGGATGCGAACGTCGGTGAAGCCGGTTTTGGGGCCCTTACTGAGCCCTATCTAGGCCGTTTTTCGACTAGACACCATCCTTTGTGGTATCCTTGGGGATCACAGGTTCACGTGAAAGAGGAATCTCAGGGCCCACTTTTATTGTGAACTATGTTTTTAACTTGTTAAACCAAAACCGGAATCCAATAGATAACGATTAGATCAAGCGGAGTCACTCGAGATGGCTAGCCAAATCTACATACCATTATTATTGAAAATTCTTTATACCGATTCGGATGTGAAGAGTATACGCTCTGCTACTTCAAGACCGAAATGCTTGGTTGCCAAACCAACTACGCTATATAACTCAACGGAATCACATATTTATTTCGCTCAGTAATATTAAGTACACAATAAAAGAAAGAGAAGTTGAGATCATTTCCAACAAAAAAGACAGCTCATAAGCCTCAGAAGGCACCGTTATGATCATCCATGTCTGGATCTTCGATATGCAAATATAATAATTATATTGCTATTCTCACAGAATGAGCATGTAACATATACAACATGAAGTCGGCTGAGGTAAACTCCAAAAACGTATGAATTCTGAACAAATTCTTCGCTGAAAGTTGAGAGTTGTTCGCAGCATACGACTATCAAGTCGCTATTAACAATAAGCTTGTTTCACCGACAAATGTGATAGGATCCGTGCATAAGTATATTTTACATAGAGATAAAAAGTCGAAAAAAACTAAGGTGTAAGGTTACACGAAAGAAGAAAACCCGCTCGAGAGATTGGGCGCCGGCTGCGCTGGCTGCCAAGCTGATGATGACGGCTCGCTGCCGCTATCCGTCGACACAGCCCTTGAAGACGACGTAAGCGGAGGCCCCGTGCTACGGACTGCATCGCTTGCTTTCACCCGTCTCCAAGTATCTCTGAAAGTTTAAACCCTCAAACATCAGTGCAAAGAATTACACCGGTAAAAAGTGTAAAGGAGCTTTTCGGTGTCAATAGTTCAAACTTTTGGAACGGTCTTTACTCTTGAGATGGTATGCGAGGGAACATTCTACATACATAACCATAACTACAGATCATACACAGGCTAAAGTCTTAGTGCTTAACATATACAAAAGATACATCACGATCTTTAGATGAACAATCAATGCATAGACAGTGATTCAAAAAAGTTACAAATTCCTTACATATTTTAGTATAGAAGAGGAAGAGAGGCCCTACCTATACTGATCTGTATCCCCGTAATGACTGGCGATATTTTCTGTTCGAACCTCAATCTCTTCCTTGGCACTATCGTTGCAATCATCCTCGTCATCGAAGGAATCGTCAGCGAACTCTTCATGCTGCACAGGGTTTTCTGTGTGACTATATCCGACTAGTGTCGAGGCATCATCCCGAGCACGTAAGCCTCTAGAAAAGCTTCGTTCTCTTCTGAAGTAATGCCAAGCTAACAAAATAAAGCGAATAAATTGGATCCTCGAAACCTCAACCGCCATTTCACAAGTAACACTTTGACTTTTTTCATACAACGGCGGGCGAGGTTGAAGAACCAAGCTGAAGACCTAATTCTGCCACAATCGACTACGACTACGTATTGTACTCATACTGTACCAGAATTACAAGATAACCTTCCGAGAGCTGCTTCTACAAGAATGGCGGCAGAACAATGCTGGATACCATTAAAATCGTAAATATGTAGGTTACTCAAGCAACAGAGAGCAACACCTACCTTCAATTCTGGAAATAAACACGAAGAATCGGTGCCCCTAGCCCAATGCGACCACAGTTGAGCAACCAAACATTTCACCCCTATGTTTCGTAAAGAAGGAAGAATGAATTCATCCAGGAAATAGGTTCGTTGGAAAACTCACTCTGAAGGAATAGGAGCGATCAACCAACTCCCAATAATGAAAAAAAGAATGGCTATGATTGATTGTCTTTGGCATCACCGAATTATTCAAGGCCGCCAATCAGCGTGTAACTCGGTCTTTATTTTCATTCAAGTTTTACACGAAAGAATTCTCATTCGATCCCTTTCAGTAGTTTTTTGCCAGTAATTCGTCCCGATCACTGCCATCGCCCAGGATCGATCATTCAAAAAAAAGAAGTAAGATAATGGATTATTGATGTGTCATTCTACCAAAACTCGCTCAACGCTATTGTGTTGTGATTGACGTTCGTCAGAGTATAAAAACGAAAGAAGAGCTATTCATCTCAACAAAGAATGCGATGCTGAACGCTAACGCGATATTTTTTCAAATAATGTCACAAGGACACACACGCGAGCTCGTTTCACAACCGTCAGGAACCAGTTTGATTGATAATTGCTACTGACACAACGACTAAGAACACACCCCGAAAAGCCAAAAACCCTTTACGAAATGTTGTTGCAAAGCCCCTTTCATCAAGAAAAAAACAACCCGTTTGAATCTGGATCCGTGGCGAGTTTATTTCACAACTTTTTTAAAAGGGGAAAACAGCGCACGAGAACAAATTCGGCCCTAACCTTCGTACTTCTTTTACGATAGAGTAACAACGTACAACGCTCAAACTTGGAAGAAGTACAGGCGGCAGGATGGGATCGCATATGGTAGGTGGAAGAACCGAACTACGCTCATAGAGGCGGGGCTTGCGCGAAAATTGTCAATTTGGCAGTTCTGTTGTTCTTGAAATTGTTAATTTTGCTTCTGCCTCGAGGTTGGTAGGTGGAAATTCTTATTGTGGCTAACGTTTCGACGGACTCGTCGTTTTCAATGCCTGAAAATGGTTCAAAGCTTGTTGATTGCACACTATCCCACCAAGATTGGTTTCAAGATTAGAGAACATGGAATTCGTCATTTTGACCTTAGACCGTTCAAACTTAGTAGGAGTTCAGGAGGTAGGATGTGAACATTAACATGGTGGGAAGCAGGACCGGAGTCCGCCCACGGAAGGCAGGGTTTACGCGAAAATTGCCAGTCTGGAGCTGGAGCGTTCAAATTTTGTGGGCGTGTGGGCAGCAGAACGGAACGGAAAAACTGTATTGCTTGGAAGGACCGCAGTCGGCCCACAGGAGGAGAGGTTCGAGCGAAATAAGTGTTTAAGTAGAAACTCATGAGTCCTGTTTCCATGGAGTCGGAGAATTCAAAATTGAGAGGAGGCAGGATGGGAACGCTGACGATAAAGAAAGGGTCTAAAGAGAGCAAATGAATCCTCACGCCTCTGGTATTTACGATCTAGCTTTGATCCCGACATGTTTCATTCGACATGATGGGTAAATGCAGTAACAGTGACCGACGAAGGGTACCAAACAGTAAGGTGATGAAAGTTAATCACCAACCTGGTTGATTGTAGGCCGCGCTCCCCACGACTACCATATTTCGGCGATTTATTAAGCATATCTAAGGCTTCTCGTTGAGTGACATAAGCGCTACCTCGAACGTCCCGACCCACCAGCGTCGTCAGCCTAAGCAATCACTTATAGCAACATTTTGTCTAGGGCATAATAATCAGGAGATCTAACCTCTGCATAGCTTCTCGATTCTGTAACGACGGTAACGCGTCTGTTTCCAATCCATACATATTCACCACACTTCCACAAACTTCGATGCACTCTGCGCCACGTAGACGGCTTTGCTCGCCGAGAATACTTCCGTAGGCAGGCGGATCCCGATCGGACAACCATGACTGCTTCGTTTCAGGACGTGTTGGTAAATCGTTCCTTGGAAAGAATAAAAGGGGGCTCTGAGAAGAAGATTGGAGGAAGACGTCGTGAACTTACCGGCTTCGACCAAGATCGCGGTGACTGGCTTCCATCTGGAACGCTACGAAATTTCCGTTTGCTAGATGACTACTGTCCACCGAATCGCGTTTTTCACGTTTATACTTGGCAACAGAACCTTGAAAGTGCTACTTTAATGAGCCATTTTTTATTGCAGAGTGCTTAAGAGATAGCGTTTTCTTCTCTATGCTGCAGAAGTAGATTACATTGAAAGCATCCATAATTGTTTGAACAATTACTACACAGAGAAATCATTTACCCTTTGACGACAATGGCACCCACCGGTGAGTGTCACTATGACTGGCGCATGGGACATTGACACGCAATTTTGGGTACCACCATACTTTCTTGTTTCTTACCATTTGCTAAATTCAGTAAGCCAGCGAGTGATTTTTCTCTTGGGACAGTGCCACCCACCGATGGGTGCCAGTCGTGCGCGAAAGGAGGGGGCGTGGTCCCATGGGCGCGTGACGTCGAAATCCGCATTGTCGTCAAAGGGTTAAACTGGACTTAGCAGCATGAAATTCGATATTGCGGTTTGTGCGAATGTAGTGCTTTTCCCCATACGTAGCGATATGTTTGATTCGAAATATTGCTCATCCGACTGGAGTAGAAAACAGAAGCACAGTCGTCGCGAAGTCAAGAATAACCCCAACTTACTGAGGCCTATTTCCATGCAATAGTAGTCATTGTCATCGATACTTACCCGTGATACATAAAAACGCCACAACAAGTACGACCACAACAAACGTTGACATTGCGACCATTATGATGAACCACCAAGTTGTATAGAACGGATCTTCTGGGATGAAAGCTAAAAAGCTGCTTTTCAACTATTTTCAGCGAAATTTGCATTAAAATGCATCAATTACATATCTACTTCCTTAGGTTGATTGAAATCTTGCAAAATACGTGGCAACGATATAGATTTCGTACGTATTGCCAGCGTCAGCCTGTTTAGACTCTTTCACACGTTAGATTTCCTCAGATCTATATTCCATTATTCACCTCAAAGTCTAAATTAATTCTCAAAAGGCTGCAACTTTCGTAGACGATCATCCGAAAATTTTTTGATGGGTGGACAAACGCTACAATTCTTACGAAAATATTGGAGAAGAAAAAGTGGTCACTTACCTGGTACAAATAGCTGCTCTGTTTCTGCACTAGCCTTCCCAATTCCAATTTCATTGCGCGCAAACACGCGGAACACATAGAAACTCGAAGGCTCCAGTTCACGATAGCTGACCTGAATCTAGTCGCTTAACAAGCTTGTTTATTTTCATAGAACAAGAGGATTGGAATAGCTTTTGGTATATTAGCACTACGCGTTGTGGGAAGGCTCGGTATTTCTCTATACACACAAGTGCAGCAGGTAATCTGGACTTTCAAGCTTTCAACGAATGAAGATCAGGGATACCGTTGCTCACGCCACGAAATCATCAAAGAACAGGCCGGCGGGATCTACCATGCGATGTCGCGATGACCGTTGGGCCAGCGCGGTTACTGATTGGATAACTAGGGACGTCACACGAATGTCAGGACGGCCGCCAGCCCGATCGCCGGACTTTTTTTTCGAAAGCTGTGGACGGAAGGAATGCTATGCCTCGTGTCTCTCAAGCGAGAACGATATTGGACCACTCCGGCCTGTGACAAGGACGAATGGAGACGTTAGTAGCACCCGTGCGAGGAAATCGATAAAAAACGGGACCACAAGCGATACGCGTGGGGAGATATTGTTAATAGTGGAATTATTTAATTACAGAAAGGAATGTATCGAATTTTTCTACAGCTTCTGAATTCAGCAAAGGTGGGCTCAGGCCGCTCTTCTAAAGCTCTTTAGATCCAATTCAGACCAACTAAACGAAGCTTTACTGCCAGCAACTATGTATGTCGGCAATGGTAAAAGGCCGAACATTTGCGGTTAACACGTGATTCGTTTCCAGAATGGCCGACTTAACGTTGAAGAAGCTCTACAAATTCAAAGGACGTCCAATGCTCATTGCTGCTACCCTACTTAGTTGGCAATAAATCACTCGAAAAATTTTGCGCGTAGAAAACAATGTCATGCTAATAAAATTCATATGAAAAATGAGAGCAAATTCTAAAAAAGGCCTACGGACCTCATGCTGCTCACGAGAACCTTCGACCACCCTCAATGTCACCCAAACACCGTGAATATGAGTTGGTCGCCCGAACGAGCGTCTGTTTCTCTTTTGAGAGGCGCCGATGTCCTGAATATATGCCATCAACGAAAAAGACATACCAATTCAACATTCAGTCAATTTAAATCACAATCAGAAACCTTAGACACCAGCTTAGTTTGAATCAGATGACCAATGATGCCGCTTCTTTTCTCGTCTTTCCACTCAAGTGCCACAGATGATGGACCGGGAGTGAGCGTTGGCCTTGTTGGTGCTGGTGGCCCATCTGAACAGAAATTCAATGTCAGCGATAGAAGCGCTCTCAAACTTGCCGAAACCCACTTGGATTGGGTCCCAAAGTTACGTTTGAGGTAACTTCGGTACCTCTACCCGCCGATGTTTCCGCCCAAACCGCGAAGAAATAGGTGACGCCTTCTTCGAGATTAGTTGCTGGGTAGAACGTTTGCTGCGTGCGAGATTGAACCTCTTTTTTGAACTCTTCCTGCAATTGCTATCGAACATCAGCTTGATGGAGTCTATTAAGATCGAACCGCCAAGGACTACCTTCATTTTGAAGGTTTTGTAGTTAACAATATAACCAGTAATCAGCCCATTCGGCTCTGTTGGAGGTTTCCACGAAACACGCACCTGAATGGGCGAGAGAAAAATCTATTTTGAAGAAATAGAAATTATTTTCTCTATTTCGCGTTTCTTATGGGACACATATCCCCATCCACTACTATTTTGGAAGTTCCTAACAATAAGACTAAAGGCTTCGCTCATAAATGACAGGCGAAACAGTCCCCCAAACGGACTAATGGGGGAGTACGGGAGGGACCCTCTCACCTGAATTCTTTCCACTACCATTCTCATAGTTCCGACACCAAACACTACCTGCTCATCACCGGCACATTTCTAATTTCAGAAGAAGCTTGTAAGACTATCAATGTGAACGGAAGAGGGGAACTATCTTCGGTAACTTCTATACCAATGAAAACCTTACCGAATCCAGTAACACATCCGAAAACCTTAGCGCACCAACCACTCCTGGGACATCCTCCAGCGTCCGAACTCTAATACGGGCCACAGCGCCTTCCCCAACTCGATTGTAAGGTGTGACAGAAATCTGAGAAAGGAAATGTGATTGATAAGCTAGGGAAAAAGGATGAAAGTCACAAGTTTGAAGAATATGCAAACCTGATACTCTGTGTATTTCCGCAGGTCCGTCACGACACAGCTACTATTTTCAACTACCATCAACTCCTCATCATGACTTGAAGAGGAAAGCACAGATGTCACTGGTACGAATCTAACCTTAAAAATGCTCCATGAGACAGTGTTCGCTTCTCAGAAGAAATTAGCGAGTGTTCGGAAATTGGAAGCCGAATACACATATTTTCAACTGCAGTTATTTGAAAACGGAAGGCCTGCTCGACAAATAGTGTACGCGCACCAACTCAGAACACTCATCGACTTAGGGCTATCAAGGTGTCCGGAAAGTTTTAAGAAAATTTTGTCTCTCAACTTTGAAAGAATGTTGTTCGCGAACGAACTGAAGGAGTGGTATAGATTTGATAGCAGAGTAAAGGACATTCTTCATAGATCAATACTATAGCTGATCGGTATTTGACGTGGTCTTCGATCGAACAATGTGTCATCGATAAGACTACCGGCACCTCGTGCTTCACCATTACGAAACTGATCGCTCTGACACTCAGGCTTGGACTTAGATCTGATGACTGAATGGCCGCAGTGATCCTTCCTTGTCACTTACCATAAATGGCAGGAACGCTTCCTCTTAGAAGAGATTTGCTTCGACGAACTTTATCGAAGCGAACGTCCACTGCCGTCAAATACCGACACTATTCTGACCTCCTATCAGAGCAATTCTCCTTAAAGTCTCAGGAAATGGGAAAGACAATCTCTGCTCCCCAATTTATCATCCAGGACGTTCTATGCAAAAGTCGTTTCCAAAGCAGAACTCTATGCAAATATCGCACACTCCCTGACTGAGCAGGAGCGTCGAGGCGAGTCACTGTGTGTTGGAAGCTCCTCGACTGTGAGCAACGACGAAATCAACCTACTTCAGCATTGCTCAGGATAAAAAGTACTGATGTCATATGAAAACTCACACAGGAAATCGCAATGTCAACCAGCGGACCACAATCCACCATGAAAGAGGCGCTCATGCCATGACCTTATTCTTCTTCGGCTCAACCGAGTGTTTTGCTAAGATGTCCTACCAGAGTGCATTGCGGTAAACGCAGGAGTACTCTGTTCACAGCTGAGGAAGACGGTGTTTCAAACCCTCATTTGATACCGATTACAAGGAACTTTTCGATTGTGATGGATAAGGGCCGACCACCTCACGAGAGGATATCGATGGACGGGCTGAAAAGACTTGGCATAATCTGACTATTCCGCTCCCCACATATTCATATGACCTCAGCCCATATGGGTACATACTTTCAGAAGCCCATAGGCCTGCTCTAAAGGAAAAAAAATTCACCAACTGTCGAGAAGTCAATTAGGTGGTAGATAAATGAATTACCTCCCGCCTCTCTTCATTTAGGAGGAATGGCATCAACGCCCTGTCCGATTGATGGAGAAACGTTGTGGCTGAGGATGGCCACTTTCCTGATCACTGATCTAAGTTTATGGCTGTGTTTATTTTGAGTTGAAAAGGCCGACCGAATTTTCTCAAAACTTTCACCCTATTAATTGTCGCATCACCCTTCACATCCGAGTCTTAGAAAGCATGCAACATTTTTGCTTTTCTCAAACTTTTCTAGGATGGAAACAATTCATTACGTTTTTGTTGCAAGCGGACACAAATCCAATAGGTTGGTAGAAGGCTTTACAATACCACTCTATAAGTTGATTCGAAGCAGTAAGAGAGCAGGTGAATTATGCGATAAATTGTAAAGTACACATGCCACCCTACTTTTCCGAACCTCCCAAATGTGATGCGCTGCTGTCCAACTTCTGATTCTCTTCCTATCGGATTTCAGCGCTCTAAATCCTACACAAAAGTTGCTTGATTGACAGGATCCACTGCCTTACAGATTTCGTTTCCCTGGAAACTAGGACTGTTTTCGTTTCCTTCTATCTATTTTAACCCGTTAACGGGACCGTACACTGACAAAGCAGTTATCTGCATTTAAATTCTGCAGGCACACACCGTTTGACTTGATTTGATTTGTTTTATTACACGAAGACATTCGTGTGAAGCCATAGACTTCACACGAATGTGAGACTTATTTTATTTCAATCTTCAGCATGAAAATCAGCGCTCGGTGTTGCGCACCGACCTTTCCGACAGAATCCTGGGTCTGTCACGAACTTCTAATAGTGATCCCGATAGGACAAAGCCAAGCTGTGTCCTTAAAACAGCTTTAGAAGAATGCGATATGAATCACAATTTTGAAAATACGTGCTCAGGGTGACAAGCTTATGCAAGACAGAGGATTTATTTGCTACCAGCACCACGTAACCCATAACCAGCTACCATGACAAGTTGTGACTGTTTTCGCAGCGCCAGCGTAGTCATCAAAGCTTTGCCTGCACTGGTATACATGTGTACCACTTCTGTAATCGGAAAAACTGCCACATTTTTAGGGAATATTAAGACAGTAGTGCTCGCTACTCAGAAACTTTCTGTTCGCACACTCTTCATGCCTGTTGGTTTGAGTTTTAACCTTAGTTATTGTATCAGGAACAACATGAGCCAGCGAACGATCACAGTTGGTGAAGGTTCATCAGGCGACCATAAGTCAGAGGACAGCGCGGGGTGTTGACGACAGTGTCGAAAGTCCTATTTTCCAGGACCATGACGGCCCAGGTGGTCCCGAAGCTTATCTACAAAGTGCCCTATTACTCCTAGGGTTGCTTCCAACCGAACATCGTTTTCGTACCATTTCCCAGTTAAAACGAGCCCTTCTGCTTTGGATCGAACTGAAACACTTTGCTGCTGCGCATTACAATATGCATAAACGAACGCTTGAAAATTTCGAACAGAAGACTAAAAGTAGGATTGACCGAGCCAGCAGGAGAAATTTCGCCAGGTATGAGCTGTCGACCTGCCATGAGCTACAACAAGTTTTCGAGAGTTGCGTATTTATTGGTCGCGAAAATTCTACATGGCTAATCCAGTCATCAGAGACACCATCACTAGATGACAACTAATTTCTTCCAGAATGTACTTCAACTTGCCTGAAAAGCCACAGGACTCACTCAGGATGGATTATCTGTTGCTAGAAGCGATAGATACTTTGCAGATCACGTCGATAACACGATTTCGAAAAGTAAGTAACCTAAGCTTAAGTACAAAGTAGTATACGGCAGGAGTGGAGAGGCTGTACTTCAGCATCGTTCTTATCAAGCAAGGTCAAAACCTCACTTGCCTTTGACTCGCTCAACTCAGATAAAGCCGGAAAAGCAGCAGAGAAGGACGTTGAAGCCGTAGTCAGTTTGCTCGCAAGTCAACCCTTCTACGCTCCGAGGTATCTTCTAGCCCTCAGGAATTCCAAACTTCTGCAATCGTCTTCCGGAACGGTCTCATGCAAACCTTCTCGCATCAGTGGACGCCTCAGGAATGGAACAACATAGTGAGAATAACTATTTTCCATAAGTGCAGAATGAATAGAAGATGATATGGCCGCACTCGTTGCTTCACTACCTAATGTATGAGCGGTGAAAAATCCCATCCCCTGCTCCACGACGCACTGAAAGATGTTATTCAAGTGCACATGGAATACCAGCAGGAACAATTGCCAAAAAGCATGAAAGCAAAGCATGCACAAGCTGCTGCTATCCCAAACCCTACTCCAAACCTTCAACCTTGTTCATTGCCCGCCATAACTCAAGAGAAACAGCGATTCTTCCGAGACGAAGGCAACTGCTGCCAATAAGACTGATGTAGGTTTACAAATATTTCTAATTAATTAAGTTTAAAAAAAGAGGAATGTTGGAACGAATAATCACATCGAAGCGGATCAATCAAAACCGCTAAGACAAGCAGGGCTCAAGCTTAAGGAAAACGGCTCTGCAGCCACTCACACTCGCGCATAAATATAGTGAACACATTATAAACTTGTCGTTTTTTGTACTTTTCGAAGCTCTATGCTCTTCACTTTTATTGGTGAGCTTTCGGCATATAATGCCTTCGTCAGACCTTAATTACTTACAATATATTGCTGCATACAATCAGTTACTATCAG